GGTGATAAGTCAACAGGAATTCAAACACATGCTGCTACTTCAGGCTGTACCCGACCATATATATGATAAGCCTGGTAAGTCAGGGTCAGAGCATCAAGGTCCTTGCCTTTGGCCACTGCCCGTGGCATCATGCACTGAATGTTATGGCCCTTCCTGCAGGTGATAAGTCAACAGGAATTCAAACACATGCTGCTACTTCAGGCTGAGCCCGACCAGGCCCCCGTGGGTAGAGACCCAACCCAGGTCCGGGCAAGGGACACTGAGTTCCTTGTTTTTTTTCACACACACACATATATTATTGAGTTCACTGAATGCAGCTATAATCCAAAACAAATTTATTTTCTTCCATGTATTCGGATGGATGCAAACTATGTTGCCTGATAAAAAAAATAAATAAAAAAAAAAGTCCTATTACCTTTCTTGTTATTAGTGAAACCATACGATTTGATTTTACTGGTATATGCATTTCTTGTATTCCTTGTTGCTGTTTCTAATACTTAATTTTGACTTCTTGTGTGCTTTCAGTTGCAAGGAACCAGTATGAGCAAATGGGCAGTGATGTCACCATGCAGTGCGGCTCCCTGAACAGTGACGCGTCAGTGTCATGGAAGGTGAACGGGACCGACGTAATATTTCCGCATCATCTAGAAGGTCCCAAACTGATTCTGACTGAGGTGGACTTTGGACATAATGGACTCTACAGCTGTTTTCAGAACCCAGATGGAGAGAGGCGTGACACCATCTACCTTCACGTTGGCTGTAAGTAGCAAGCTCTTTTCCAATTTCTTCTCCAAACAAGTTATAGAAGACATAAACTCCATCATCCTCCACCTACTTCACCACTTCTTTTCTTCTTCTTTTTTCTCTCTCGAACACTTTGAGAAAATGACAGTGTTCTAACATTTGGAGGCCATCTCATTTTATTTTGAAAACGTGAATTGTCTGACCCGCTGTCAGATTACGAAGTTGTAATGATAAGTTGTTAAAATGACATGTTGGCTATTTCCAGTTATGCCATTTTAACAATCATACAAAAGCTATTTAGGTGTCAATTTAGGATCATTTTGCAGTGGCCTGTGAGATGGCAGCGACCTCCCTTGAGATCCATTACTCTGATGGGAATGGATTTATACTCTGAGGATTGTGCATAATAATAGGGTTGAGATGGGATGGACTTGTGAATGATAGGAGCCCCTGTGGATGATTGGTGAACAACTTCAACTTGCAAATACACACAGTTTCAATTCAGACATTTTAAACTGCACGTGAAGAAAATAAGAATAGACAAATTAATTTTAGTACACCGTTTTTCATGCTTGGTTGTAACATCAGGTGAATGAAACATTAATAAACAAAATAAGATACTGGTTGTTATGTATATAACTTGTTTTAATTGTAACAACACAGATGGATTCCACTGTAAATTAGAAAAAAAAAGTTTATTTTGTTTTAATCATATCACGCTTATGTATATGATAAAGTAAAATAAGTATCAGACATTCTTTAAATTTACCATATTAGATATTGAGAAAAAAAAATCACAAATTAAACATGTGTTTCTTTGATTTTAGCATAAAACTATCATCAAAGTTGATCTTCACAATGTATCTTTATAGTAAAAGGGTTTTTTTTTTTTTTTTAATACTACTCATTTATTTATTTTTTTATTCACGTCTCTTTATTGTTCTCTATATTGTGGAGAACTCTCATCTACCCATTACATCTAATCAAAACAATTGAAACCATTTTTTTTATATACTGCTTCTCATCTACAGAATTTTCTCTATTTTGTATTTAAAAAAATATTTAAGAAATGTCCTCGAATAAGAGGCCAAAGATTTTTATGAAGAAAAAATAAATACAATAAGACATCAAGACATCACGATGAATTGTGCAGCTCGGGGTGGCTGCATGTTGGAGTAGCTCTGCTACGTTCATTCTGAGTTCTTGCTTTTGAAAACTTTAATTCCTCTTTTTTTTTCTGGATGTAAATCACTTTTTTTTCGGATGATTATTTACTCTGGAATCGGATGCTGTGCAGCTGGAAGGATTTTTACTGAAACCTTTTTATTTTTGGGCATTTGTTATGATGCGTAACCATGGATACAAGTTTTTTTTTTTTACATCCAGGAGCAGCTGATTAACATCTCAAAAGCTCAAATACCTTAGCTACGGCCCCAAATCCCAAATGAGTTGAAAAAGGAGGCGCCATGGAGGAATTCCCATCAACTTTGTGGCGATGCTCAAGTACTTGACCGCCGAGATCCTGGAGCTGGTGGGAAACTCGGCTTGTGACAAGGAGAGGACCGGGATCATCCCACAACACTTACAGCTGTCTGTTCATGTCGACGAGGCGCTCGGCAGACTGCTGCTGGGAGAAGTGACCATCGCTCAGGGAGGAATTCTGCCCAGCATTTGGGCAGTTCTGCTGCAGGACCAAGATGCCCGCCGGATCTGAAAGCAAGCTGGATCTGAGTGGATGGATCTATGACCAGATTCTTCTGATTCACTGCAGGAGATCCTTCCTGCCCACTTCTATCAGCATCAACACCAACTCTTGAATGAAACCAGGATGATGAGCTATGGCAACACTTAACTTCCCTTTGAGATTATTAAAGTATTTTTCAATTTGAATTGAATTAAACTGGAATATTTGCTCAACTTGTCTGTTGATTAATTGTTAATTGTCAATTAAATGTTGATTAATTAAAGAAACCATTTTTGCTTTGTTTTGTTTTGCAACATGGTTGTGGGATGTATTATAGAATGCACATTAAGTCCTAAAGTCACTAATTTAAATAATTACACATGGTTCCTTTACAATGTATGTCTTAAAAATAACATTACTATGGGCTTTAAAGTATAATTTGATTTTTTTTTTTAATTCACTCAACTGCTTTTTTGAATAAGCGTAAGTAAAAAGTAAAGCAGCATAAATATTACACTATTTAGAATATGTGGGTAGCTACAGCTAATTTTTAAACTGTGTATTAGTCTTTCCACATGTTCACCAAGAGAGCCAAATCAGCAAATAAATAAATAAATAAAAATACCCTAACAATCACCCATCAGGATTGCACTGTAGTGCCACTGTTAAACCTAAGATTTCCTTGCAAATGTTTGATGAATGAGACTATATCAAAGTGTGACAGTTTGGTTAATCATATTGGCAATGATGAATTACAGAATCATAAACCAATACTGAATTAATGTGTTTTTTATGTTATGGTAGATTGTGTCAGCAGGGTGAATTATGCAATGCATAAACAGGCTTGAGTTTGTGTGGATGTGTGTGGAAGAAGGAAAACGACTGAATCAGAGATGTGTGCTTCATGTTTGTGCACAAGCTAGAGTTGTATTTGCTTCCACAAATGGTGGTGTTTCTGTATGCTAATGACACTTTGGTGGTCTCAAACTGTGCACGTGAGAGAGAAACAGACTTTCGTTGTGTAACCAATCATCAGGGGTCAATTACAACTTTGCGAGAACAATACCTTTCTGGTCTAACCTGGCATTGAGCATAATTGCCTTGTTAACAGTTGTTGATTTTGTGACACATTCAAGGCACTTAAGCAACTTTAATTCTGCCTTTCCAACTAGCTGCTACTTCTTTATCCTTTCTGTGATTTCACCTCTCCACAGTTTATACATTTTTTCCATTATATTAGCTGTCAACTACAAAGCTGGAAAGTGTTGTGCAGCCATGACAGGCTACACTTGTTGTGATTACCATATTGATGATAGTTTGATTTTTACGCAGTGTTTATAGCTCACACCCGGGGCTTGTTATGTTTTACACAGGCAGAAGTGTGATCAGGAGAAAAACACAGAGCCATCTGTCTGTGCATTTTTATTTTTTTAGTTGCTTTCTGATTCATGCTCACTTTCCAGTTCTCCTCTGACTTGCAGTTTTGTAGCTGCAGTTGTTAGTTTTGTGTTTACACTGGTTCACATTAGGAACAGGGGACATCACGTTTCGGCCATGTCTTTGTGCGTGTCGGCTAAATTTATGACGAGTCAACACGGTGTCAGTACGCGGAGAATGAAGTTGCGCATCTGCAAAACTTTAGCACTGCTGTGATGATTGTTTTGCTTCTTATTTGTAGTATTTCACCACTAGACAAATCCATGAGATGCTGACGTTATCTCTAACAGTATGGTTACATACAAAGCTTGGCGTATCTAAAAAATCTTATAAAGTTAGGCAGTAATGTTAAATATTGCAGGAACAAGTGTACAATTGTGTTTGTGCATTTGTGTCTCAAACTGATATACATAGCAAGATGTTATTGTCCCGCAAAGGTATAGAAAGACTTATATCTGATCATTACACTTTTCAAGCATGGCACACTTAATAACATATTTAGATAATATAAATGTAAATGAGTTATGTTCGCTTGTAGATACATTGAAAGCAACACAAAAACATTTTAAAAGAAAAAGTAAAAAAAAAAAGGCAATAAGTAAAAAGACAGGCACCTTTAAAACTTGTTTTTTGGGGGGAAGACATACAACATCCTCTAGATTGTGCTTGTGCCCTTTTGTGCCATTTTCTATCTATTGCTGCTCCTATCACCTAAACAATTTATAGCAGAGCAACATGGGCTGCTGCCACCCGGTTATTTAGCCTCACGGCGAACAAAACATCAGTGCAGGGGGTCATTTATTAAACCATTTACTCTGTGACCTGACAGACTGTCAGCCACAAAGCACTTGCACACACACACACACACGTGCACAAACCAGCAGCCAAATGTGGAATTAATGCAATTCAAATTTAACCTCATTGATTAATTTCCTGACTATTGTAAGAAGGAATTAATTTTAAAAAGTGATACAAACAATGTGGAATGAGCAGAGATTAATTATTGGTAATATTGTGGATACTTGTATAACTTGTCTTCATGGACATTTATATTTAGGAATGCAGAGAAACAATGAAAATACAAGTTTTGCAATAAGTGGACATGATCCACCAGTCTTATTTGAAACCTATATCATGTAAATATAATTCCAAATTAATCAAACATATAAAACGAGAGAATGTTGTTTCAACCATAAGTCCCCAGTTTATAATCGAGCTGCACAACATGTATAGTCTTTTTTTTTTTTTTTTTACTGGGATTTATTTTGATCCTTTTGTTTCTCAGAAACTCGTCTTTACCAGAAAATCAGATATTGCTAGTATGTATGCAGAATAATTAAAAAGAAGCATTAGAAAATATGTAAAAAAAAAAAAAAGTTAGCTAAGTGATCACAGTAAAAACTTTTTTTTTAAATGGTTAGGTACTTTAAAAAAAATGAAAATCTGAAAAAATATAATTTAAGCTAGCATGTGTGATCACATTCTAAGCTACAACCAACTAGCTTTGTGAATCACAGCTGGTTACTGAATAAGTTGATTAACACCACGTCTAAATTTACCAGTAAAAACATAATATATTTAAATTATTTTATCAATCACAAACTTTAAGGTGTCAGCATTAATTTCTTTCAATTGTAATATGTTAAACCTCCTTAGATAAGTTGCCTTCCTTGAAAGGTAATTTAGACCAGTGTAAAAAAAATAAAAAAATAAAAAAAGTTGAAAATGCATATGAATAAATTTGAGTTCTGGATGAAGCAGATAATCTATGATGACACTCTTAGTATTACAAATCTCGTAGTCTGAAAGGTTACATTTTGTTATTCAGCTACTTAGTTACTCACTATACCAGCTGATGCTAATGCTAGATGCTAGTGTCTTGAAATCTAAGTAG